TTTTAATTTCCATTTTAATTTTTGGAAAAAATGATGGGATGTTCTTTCAACCCTAGTCAATTGTTAAATAACAACTTTTTGCAAAGAGGAAGAACACTCCTCTTCTTGAAGTTGAGAGAGGAGGAGGGAGAGACGGGATCACGCAGGTGTTGCACGCGAACGCGGGCTGCAGACCGCGGCGGCTGGCCTGGCGCGGTCAACCGAAGCTGGAGTAGCTGTGGCATCTTGATCGGGAGAGCAGGATGACGCTCAAGGCGTTGCGGCTGGGAAAGTTACCATCGGACCGTGGGAGTTGCGGTCGCCTGGTGATCCTAGTGCTGACAGTCCGATCGGAGGCGGATTGGAGCAGGGTGCTTCAGAATGTACCGGAGAAGACGGCGACAGAGAGCTGCTGGCTGATGGCGTTGATGATTTGATTGAAGAAATCGTCAAGGAATGCAGATCAGAGATGGAGCAGTGAATTCCATTTTTCGGTCATCAAGAAAATGAATGAGACCGTGGATGAATGGTCTTGCAGTCAAGATCAAAAAGGATTGAGATCCTTGCAGTCATGGGAGCAAGGTGGAGTGCAGGCGTAGGCGGATGGAGCCTGACGGTTAGCTCATTGCACGAGCTGAACAAGCTAGCCAAAGCTTGTGATCACGCTGGAGTCGCAAGATGATTAAGATAAGCTCAGATCTTTGAGGTGGAGCTGTGGACTTCAAGTGGAGTCCTGGAGATTACGAGTGGAGTCGACTTGTTCTTGAGTTGTGCCGGGTAGTTGGAGGCCCTGGAGTGTGCGCATGGCACTGGCAGAAGACACACAGGGCGTTAGACAGACGCGGCATGCAGGGCGTGAGTTTGTGACGACGGAGAAGAACTGTTGGGTGTGAGAGGAGAGAGACAGGTATTTGTTAACGGCGTGTTCTTGGGCTTCTTGTGGAAAGAGAGAAAATTTGAGGAGTAGAAGGTGTACCCTTCTTGTTCGCCTCTGTTTGGTTTCGTCTCTGAAAGGCAAGAGGTTTACCTGTTGGAAGCTGCTTGTGCCGTAAGATCTGGATCCTTAGCTGTACGCTGATTTGTAGGTGAGTTGATACCTGCTGGGCTCTCAAGTTTTTGGGGTTACGTCCCCTGGTTTACCCGACTGTATGTTCTTGGTTGTTGTTTTAAGAACAGTTGATTTCTTTTTTTGTAAATCTAGGACCAAGGTGGAGATTTGTTGTACTTTGTTCCTAGATTTAGGTTTTAAGCTGTATAGCCTTGTGTGTAGCCTTTTAATTACTTGGTGCCTATAAGTATAGCCTTGTAGTATGTAATAAGGATGGTTAAGAAATAAGATTTTCCAACGTTTGGCTGCCTCCCTCTTCGCTTCTCCTCTCTCCTCCCGCCTCCCTCTCTCAACTTCAGAAGAGAAGTGTTCTTCCTCTCTTGCAAAGAAGTTGGATTTCAACACAAATTATTAGGTCCAGTCACCTGACAGAAGATACATCGAATTTCTCTCTATCTACAATCAAAGCGCAATTGCTACAGTAACTACGCTTTACTGTAGATAGAAAGAAATCGTATTTTTATATCAGGTGACCGGACCTAATAATTTGCCCACCCTGAGGGCATCTTTAACAGTTACATCAAACATTAACTCATCTGCAATTAAACTCTCTTTTTAATAAAAAATTATGTATATTTTTTTCTAATTTATAAAAAAAATTAAATATCTATACTAATACTAATATATAAGTCTAACTTGGGATTCCTCCAAAATACAATCTTAGCTTTCAATTTAATTTATTAAAGATGAATCCCAATCTTTCAATTTTTTATACATTTAATTAACTTATTTATTAACTTCATTTATTCATCAAAATGCATTACATTTTTTTATTTATTTATATTAATTGTATTTAAGTAAGAGTAAATTGATGCATTTTATTTTATTTATCATATTTATTTAAATTAATAATATATTTTTTTATCTATATTATACATTTAATTAACTTATTTAGGAACTTCATTTATTCATTTAAATGTATGACTTTTTTCATTTTAATTACATTAGTTACACTTAAGAAAAGACTTAATTCATGCATTTAAATATATTTATTTTTATATTCAATTCAGATTAATTAATATACTTATTTTTTAATTTCTTTATTAATGCATATTCTATAAATAAATAATATAATTCATTAAAAAAATCATGCAAGTATGGTATTAATAAATAATTTTTAATATCTAATATAGCAATTATACATCTATACTGATATTATAAAAGTCGCTTAAATTTTCTTCCATAGAAAATTCAGATCTTTCATTTTATTTTTGAAAATTTATCGTAGCCTTTCATTATTTTTTTTATTTTTAAAAATTATAAATTTTGCTTATTCTTAATTATTACCTGCATTAATTAATTAATTTAATTATATTATATTAATTACCATGATTGCAAATATTGAATATTTGTTTCTTTAAATTTAAAAAAAAAATCAGATTTATATTAACCAAATTGGCTATTCTTAAATGTTGGATAATTATTATAATTAATTGGTATTAATAACTATATTTATTATTTAATTAATGCCAATTCTTTGTATTAATTTGTGACATGTTCACAAATATACCTCTCTCCAAGAAGCTTATGACACCATTAACCTTAGTGGTAACATTTTTTTTCTTATTTATTTACGTTAGTAATGTTAAGTTTTAGTTAAGTAATTAGGTTAAAAATTATTAATGGGTTTTTTTTTATTCTTACATCTAAGGCTCGATTTTGATTTTTTTTTTTTTTTTTTTTTGGTTAAAAATTATTAATGGGTTTTTTTTTATTCTTACATCTAAGGCTCGATTTTGATTTTTTTTCATTTGAAGGAGACCCTTCCTACTTATTTATGGTTAATATAAAATTTAATTGCATTGATATAGCACGTCATAAATTATTTTTCTTATTTTGTAAAATTTTATTCATGTGTATATGTATTTATACTAGTTATATTAAATTTCCAAACTTAATTACCAACAAAATTGATGCCTCTCTATCTTCGATAGTTCTCTCCGTCATATGCTTCATCGGGTATACAAAATCTTCTTCTTCCTCCTCCGTTTCATGATTTAAAAAAAATATATTTGTGAACAATGTAACACCAATATCCACGTCACAAAATTGCCGCTGAAATTAGTATATGAGTGGAGCAGGCCTCAAATAGCAAATAACTATATTTGGCGTTTGATCGGAGATGACCTTAGTAGCTTAATGTAATAAATACATGAAAGTGAATCAATATATAATTTAAGCTCAATGATCTTAACTTCTCATGGGATTTGATATCAGCTTATGACTAGAGCTATTATGTGCGGAATCTAGATCAAAGCTGAATCCGGATTATGTGAGTGTGCAGAATAAAAGCACAATAATAATTATTATATAATTATTACGCACGCTCACAAAATCCCTACAGTTCTCCGTTGATGTGAACTCCACACGGAACAATCTCTCTCTCATGACAGAGAGAGAGATTATTAGGTGCGGAGTGCGGATGGGGAGAACCGTCTGCACAAGCATTTTCGGCACTAGGTGCTGGCACTGGGTACCACTAGGTACCGCTGGGTATCGCTAGGTACCCATATTTGTGCGGTGCACACTCGGCACCTAATAATTTTTCGGACAGAGTACTCTGAACAAAAAAAAGATTTCGGGGAACCAAAAGTCTCACCTTGTTCCATCCACCGCCTGTTGCGGCCCAACGGCGGGCGACGTGGTGGGCGATGTTAGCGCCGGCACTGTCGCCGGAGAGAAAGCAGGAGGAAAAGTCAACCAGATCGCCAGCGACTGCATCGATTCCACCAGAATCGACGAATCTGAGGACATCGATGCCGTCTTCGTAGTGGGCGGGGTAGCGGTGTTCAGGGGCAAGTCGATAGTTAACAGAGGCGATGATGGCTGGGATCTTGCGGGCGATGCGGCGGCAAGCTAGGTCATAGCCGCGGGTGTCGGGAGAGAAATAGACGAATCCGCCGCCGTGGAAGAAGACGATAAGGGGGAGACGCTGAGGACGACCGTCGCCGGGGAGAAAGAGGCGGAACCAAAGTTTACGTGCGGGGTCGACCGTGAGGTCGATTGTACGGACGCCGTGGACCGTGGTAGGGTTGGGAGGGACGCGGAGGTTCAGGAAGGAAAGGAGGCGGCGGTTGATTGTTCCGTCCGCGCGGCGGGTGGCGTCCTTTATAGCGGAGAGGAGGGAGATGGAGAGCCGAACCTTTAATGGTAGTTTGGGTTTCCGGTACGTCGCGATGGCCGGTGATCTGGACCCATCAGTCATTCTTTAATTCTTTGATTCGGAGAACTAAAAATGGGGGAATCCGGACAAGATGAGCGGAAATTTTGGTAGCCAATAAAACGGGAGAAACTATTATGTCCCCAACTTATAAATAGCCAATAAAAAAAAAAATATATTCGTAACTGTATATAGAATAATCTATATCAGAAAATGCAGTTATGAAGAACTATATTATTATAAGATAAAAAATTAATATTAAAAGACATTTAGTTGACGTTTAGTTTGAAAATTGATATATCATAAAAAATTTATACTGATCGGGCATGAATCTTGAGAAAAAAATTAAATTGAAAATTTTCAAAATTAAATACGGAAACATCCAAACTCCGATTGCAGTATACTTATAGTCGAACTGAACGTATCGGAAAGACTAACTCAAGGATGCCATAATCAGTAAAATCCAAGCCCAAATGAACCCAAATCAAATGTTCAAAGCATATTTGGAGGGTTCAATGCATAATTTGGATTATCAAATAAATTTCAAATGTGTAAATCGAGCACCTCGACGAGACAAATCCAAAGAGCTCAAGTTCTCCAAATTTTGATATCATTAAGACATTCAACTGATCAATAAATGGTCTACGATCAAATGGATTAATATCGGTAGTACATTTATACCACTCCCATCTTGATCTTGATCATCCTCATATTTACAAGTCATGTCATTCTCAAAAATCTATAAAGAGGCCCACATTCTTCACATAAAAAGTGGAGAGGAAGAAAAAGGAAGAGAATGGATGAATTTGGGAGCTCTCTTGTCACCGACTGTCGTCGGAGTTCTTCCCGACCACCCCCGAAGTTTCTTCCGCCCATCCATCGACCACTGCCGAAGTTCTTGCCAACATCCACCCATTCGTTGACCACCACTGGAGTTTTTCCGGACTTCTGCCCATTCGTTAACAACCGTTGGAGTTCTTCCATACTTCCGTTCTTTCGTCGACCATCATCGAAGTTCTTCCCAACATCAGCCCATTCGTCGACCACAGTCGGAGTTCATTCTAACTTTCGCTTGTTCTTCAACCATCGTTAGACTTCTTCCTAATTTTTGCTCATTCATCGACCATCAGCGGAGTTATTCCTGACTTCCATTGGTTCGTCGACCACTACTGAACTTATTCCTGACTTCCGCCCATTTGTCAACCACCGCCGAAGTTTTTCCCGACAACCGTCAGACTTCCACCTATTCATCGACCACCGTCATATTTCTTCCCGAATTTCGCCCATTCGTCGATCACCGTACGAGTTCTTCCTGACTTCATCTTGTTCGTCGACCATTATCAAAGTTATTCCCGACTTTCGCTCGTTCGCCGACCATAATCGAAGTTCTTCCTATCTTCCACTCGTTCGTTGGACACTGTAAGAGCTCTTTCTGACTTTCACCCATTCGTCGACCGCCATTGGAGTTCTTCCTAACTTATGCCCATTCTTCAACCACCGTCGGACTTCCGCTCGTTCGTCAATTACCACTATAGTTCTTCCCGACAACCACCAAACTTTTGCCCTTTCATCGATCACTGTCGAATTTCCTTCATACCTTAGTCGCCAGATCGAGGTTCTTCCGAGCTCTGTTGCCCACCGGCTACGTTCATTCTGAATTCGTCACCCAACTACGATCTTCCTGACCTCCATCGTCCATTGAATATGGTCCTCCCACCCAAATGAACATATCAAAAATAATTCTTCCAACCCTCACCATATAATGCACTCTATTTTGATGTACATTTGCTACATTCAGTCAAGACCTTCCTCCTAAGGAAGGGCCTCATTTAGAACACATTGCAAACACCAGTCGATTCATTCAAATTGGGTTAAGCCTTGTGATTTTTCTCCTTTTCAGGGGTTTCCACATAAAAATTATGGGGTCTCTTATAAATAATGCACTCTATTTTTTTATCTGATTGTGTGATGGAACTTCGTATAAAGCTAAGACTTTAACCTTTATATTTCTGAAAGTAGCTTTTTAATACAAAAATTTAAAATTTAATACTATAAAGCAACTTTAGGAAGCATTAAGAAATCCGTCCCAAATGAAGCCTAAGTTGACAAGGACCGAGTGAGCTCTCCAAACAACTCACATGTCCATAAATTTTTAAACAAAAGGGTTAAATTTTGTTTAATTAAAATAAAAATTGAAAAATGAAGAAATTAAAAAATGACAAATAAAAAAACTGAAACGAATATATACTGAAAAATAGTCGAGTTGACTAAAATCATTAATTAAAAAAGAAAAAAAAATAAAAGTTGAACAAATGAAAAAAAAGAAAATATATTTCAAAACAAATAAAAAAAGTAAAAAAAAATGTTCAAAATAAAAAAACGCAAAAAAAAAAAACAGAAATAATGAAAATAAAAATATTAGAACAAATAAAAAAAAATAAAACGAAAAAAAAAAAAGTTCAACATAAAATCACAAAAAAATAGTAAAAATAAAAAAAGAAATGTCGAGTCGTTAACTCATTGAACGAGCGGCGTTTTTTTTTCTTCATTATATTTTTTTGGTTTATTCTTTATTTTTTTTTCTTTTCCTGTTTTATTTTGTTTTTCTTTTTCAGGTTTGGATATTGCACTATTTTTTTTTGAATTTTTTGTTAATTTCTCTTTTTAATTTTTTATTCATCCCAATTATTCTTTTAATTGTCCTGTTTTTTTTTTTTTTAATTTCTTCATTTTTTATTTTTTACTTAAAAATCTTTTAATCATTTTAACTTTAAAAACTTATGCCAAAATAAGTTTGTTTAAAATAAAAATTATTATGCATCTCTTAGGCAACTACTACTCGTCAGGACATATTATTCTTTGCGGAGTCCGAACGTCGTCCACAGACTAATAAAAATGCACCACATTACCCCATAAGTGTATCGAGCTGTACCGGGCGTCGATACCGAGCGGTGCCGGACGGTTCTCCCATTTGATATCCGCATAGAATAATCTATCCTCGAATCCTTCTCATTTATAATTTTTACTTCATATTATTTCCGACAAAAAGCTTTTTAAGGAAATTTATTTTGAAAATTTGTCCTAATAATCTCTTGCCATGGACGTGGCCGTGAATGCTCCAAGTAACGTGCCGTGTCTCGGTCTTTGAAACATTACGTTAGGTCTATGCATGGGTTGGGAAGCGGTCTCAATTACGTTAGGTCTTTAATTTCTTTTTCATTTAATTCTGTGGCCTTTTTTTTTTTTTTTTTTTTTTTTTTTTTTTTTTTTTTTAATTCTGTGGCCTTTGAGGCTTTGCTTTCACATATAATCCAAAATCAAATTGGATAAATTTTTAAAATGAATTCCTATCAAAATTGTTTACGGGGAAAGGGATATATAACGAAAAAAATCGGAACATATATATAACGTAAAAGTATTAAGTGAAGGAATAAAAAAATGAAAAAAAAAAATCTTTAGGTTTTATTTTATTTTTTATATTTTTATTTTATTCTTTCGTAGTTTAGAAATTAGTGAGATGAAGATGTGCTGATTGAACTCTAGTGATTATAAATAGTAATTTAAAAAACTGAACGTTACGGAAATACAAAAGCAACGATAACAAATTCGACTCAATCTGAGCCCAAATGAGTCCAAATCAAAGACCTGAAGCACATTTGGAAGGTTCAAACTATAATTTGAATTACTAAACTATTTCCAAACGTGACATTCTTATAGTCGAATCGAGCGGCTTGACAAGACATATCCAACGAGTCCAAGATCGCCAAATTTAGATATCATTAAGATATTAAAATACCAAATAAATGATCAACAATCAAGGGAATGAACACCAGCCGTCCATTCAAACCATAACCAATTTAACATTGATCATCTTCCTATTTACTGGTCATGTCACTATCAGAAAACTGAAAATAGACCAATTTTTTCCTCATGAGAGGGGACCCCAAGCAAATAAGGAAAGAAGAGAGGAGAGAATGAGAAATAGATTTCTCTTGTCACCAAGCTTCTCCTCGACCGCCTCCCGGTTATCGATCGTCTACGGACTTTCGTTGGACTTTCTCCTGGACATGGACACTGGATTTCTGTCCATCGCTGGATTTTCTCCCGTCGCCAAACTTTTTCCCTACGCTAGACTTTTTCATCAAACTTCTACCAGTCGTCATATTTTCCTAAGCCTTCTACCCGACGCCAAAATTTTGTCTATTGCCGAACTTCCACCACCTTTGGACTTCTATCCAGACTTCCATTGGACTTCAGCTAGTTGCAAGACTTCTATCCATCATCGAACTTTTGTTAGAATTCAACCCCATGCCGGACTTCTATCCAACACTAGACTTCCGTCCGACGTCGGACTTTTGCTCAATGCCCAAACTTTCGTCAAACTTTTACCTAACGCCGGACTTCCGTCCGCTGGACTTCTACCCGTCGCTGAACTTTTATTGATTAGCTACTCGACGCGGGACTTTCATCCATCACCGTACTTTTTTCTGTTGTGAGACTACAGTCCTTTCGACCTTCGTCACCAGAAAACGATCTTTCTGACCGTAGTCGCTCGCCGACTACGATCCTTTAGACCTCCGTCGCCAAAGAATGATCTTTCTGACATGTCAAAAGCCGATTGTTGTTCTTCCGACCTTAGACGCTAGCCCATGGACCTTCTGACATTTATCGACAGACAACAATGACATACAACAATCTTTCTGACAATTGTCGTCTGCCGACTATTATCCTTCCGATCTCCATCACTTGACAATGGTCATTCTGACCTTCATTGCCTTCCGTGTATGGTCCTTCCGACCTCCGACACCTAACAAACTAACAACGGTCTTTCCGACCTCCGTCGCCCATCGACTATTATCCTTTCGGCCACCATCACCCGAATGCGATCTTTCTAACATCCGTCGCGAGCTGACTAGTACGTCAAGCCAAGACTCTCTCCCAAATGAAGTACCTCATTTATAATCGACTGCAAACACTAGTGGATTCATTCAAATTGGGCTAGGCCTCGTGATTTTTCTCCTTTTTAGGATTTTCTATGTAAAAAATATTTGTGTATGTTTATAGGGTTTTCATGCATTGAGTCTCTTTTAAATACTGCATCCTATATTTTTTATTGGATTGTGTGTTTGATCTTCATACAAAACTAAGACTTTAAACTTTATATTTCTCAAACGCA